ATATATATATATATATATATATATATATATATATATTCAAGTATAATAACTTATATTAATTTTAAACACTCATCATATAAGTTCTTATTTAAATTATTATAAATAATAATAATTTGTTAGTATAATATTTTGAGTGTGTTAATTATACTAACAAAATATTATTATTTATACTAACTTTAATAAGCTAGCGGTTATGCCTAAAAGACTTTTTGAATGTCCTAAACTCTACTCTTTTTAGGAAATAGATTTTTATAAAACTCTTATCTTAGTTTATTCCCTAAAATTCTTGTCCTAACTAGCCTGATATACGTAGAGTCATGAGTTTTTGTCGAACAATGTAACTTAATCATTTTTATCCTTAATTAATAAGAGCTCCCAAAATAAAAACAAACATCTAAATTCATGATTGTGTCGATTATGACTTATAATGGATTTTTATTTTAGTACGGGTTTATCAAGTCAAAATTCACATGTGAACTTGGTCAACCCATTCAATCTAATTGCATTATAGTGAATTGAGTTGGATCGTTAAGTTGTGTTAAACAAATTTTAATTGACTTAATTATAATTAGATTAGGTATCGAATTAATGAGTTTTTAACATAATCAACCCAACTTACAGTTTATATTAACAGTGATCATATAATTTAAATTTTATTTTTATTTATTTACCTTTTTTGAATTTTTCTTCAAAAGTTTAAAATATATCAATATTTTAATAAATACCCGATTACGTGCCTTTAAGTTTTTTTTTTCTCATGTTTTGCATCTTTATCTTTTCTACATTTTTAACACCATTACACATCTGGTATAATTTAATTACATAATTATATTTTTTTTGGGTAATGAATTATTTCCTTATACTTTAATTTCTAATTTCATTTTATTTCAAGCACTTTTCTATGGATTTAATTAATCATCTTTCCATTTAATTTCAAAAAGCATTTTTTTCTACACTATGCTTTCAGTGCACCTTTACTCTCTTGTGACCATTTCCTTTCCTATCTACATTTACATTTCACACTATTTTTTTTGTCAAAATTATTTTCTTGTCTTCTTAATTCCATATTAATTTTTATATATGGACACTTTTAATTTTCTATCAAATATTTTCTCAATATATTTTCTACCTATTTATTTTCTAGCAAATTTATATTATTGTCAGATTATTTTCATCAAATATTTTGTTTTGTCAAAAGGCTTGTTTTCTTTATCAATTTATTTGTTCTGACACTCCTTGTCAAATCTTTTCTTCACATTTTTGTCAAAACGTGCTTTTCCAACATCAAAGGATTTTGTCCAAATTATGTCTAGATTTATACCATTGAATTGCACATCAAACAAATACCAATTTTTGATATCAAATGTCTTCTATATATAGAAATTGCTTATTTTCATATTCCTATTAAATTATCGGTTACATGGATCATATTAAAACCACAAATTATTATAGAACTTGAAATTCAACAACAGATTATTTGATGTAAAAGGCTAGCTAGATCTTCTTGACAAAGTTTTCGCCGCAAACACAACTTAGAATTAAACATAAAAATGGCATTCTATATTTTAGTTTGTATAATATATTTCATGAATTCCACCATTACTCTTGGTTATTGAAATCTGTATTCAGCTTATATTTTCTGTCAGTAATTTCGAACACAAAAAATTGTGATACCTGACCTTAACCATATATATAATACTTCTTCGCTTTGTTTTTACCCTCAAATAAAACATAAACTACCACACCATTGTCTACATTAGTTTATTGGAAAAATTGTATGATCAGTCCATAACACATAAAAAATCATGCAACAGGTTAAACTTCACCATGCAATGCATATATAACGAGAATTGATTCAAGTCAACTGAATATTTACACTTTGATTTTTTCTTCCCTCTCAAATTAATACGTCAAATAAAGATAATTACATCGATCCCTTAAAAGCAGTAAAACAAAGTACAATAAAACCCAGAGTGGCCAAGGCTTTCACTGACAATGACATACCTTCCTTTCCTTTCATCCATCCCAACACAAACGCACTAGTCTTTGTTTTCCAACTTGGATTGAAAAACCCCCCAAACAAATTACAAAAATTGAAAAAGAATCTTTGATGACAACAAATAATAATAATAAATAAATAAAAATGAAGTGAAAGAATCTCCGACAGGTACCTCCCTCTCCCATATAGTTAAAGCAGACACAAGACAAGTGTGTTTTTTCTTCCACCCTCTCTCTTTGGTGCACATGTGTTTCCCTGCATTCCAATCATGCAACTTGAGTGGTCCCCTTCCTTTAAAGTAAACACATCACGTGACTGCCTCAGTTTGATAGCAAAAGCCTACCACCAATGTGACCCTTCTCAGTCATGAATTGCCTAATAAAAATTCTCACCCTCTCTCTACCCAATAGTACGTTATGCCATTCATTACATTACAACAACAACAACTTCAAGCACTCACACAACAATACCACAATTCTCTTTTCTTTTCTTTCTCATCCCATGCATGCATCACTTCCAAAATTCTGCAATTTCTCTTGTAAAATTAGAAATAATCACAGATCATGTCTTTTAGTCCTGAGACACACTGTCAAATCTGACAACCAAAAATTAATCTGCACTCGTACAACTACTCTCGCTCATAACAAGCACTGCAGATGATATCTAAACTTGCTTATTATTACACTAGGTGGTGGTTGATACATTTGATCATATATTATTAAGTAGTCTATGAAGGGTGAGTGAGTGAGTCTCCAAACTTCGAAGTTCAAACATTGATAAGCTGTTCCTTTTCGGTGAGAGTATCACATCGTGGTTTTGGTGATTGAGATGGTGAATCTGCAGCACTGGCCATCTTCTTTATGTTTTGTTGATGATACACTTGCCTCAGTCTCTCTATCTCCCTCTTCAGTGCTTCTTGATGTGCTGCATTACATTATTTGATGCTTTGTTTGTTAATTAACTACTTAATGATAGGGCACATGCATGATTAGCACACAGATCTAAATATGCTTTGTCGCATGCAAACCCTTTTCACACATGAGTATGTAGTACAGCTTAATAATTGGCCTTTTATTTCTTATTCCTTTTAAAGTAATCAAATTATATATATAGTATGCAAACTTGCACCAAAAAAAAAGCCAAACTCTGCAATTTATATATTTAATATCTTACGATCCAGAATACTTGACCAACTTCGAGGAGCGCCAAGCCTAGTTATGCAGTTGAAAAAGTACAGATTGGATGCATTAAATTGTACCTTTTTATATAATTTTCCTCAAACTCAAAACTACAAATTATTAATTAACTATTTATCTTGCATAGATGCAGCCATTGAACACTGAAAGATATAAAAGATATCATAATGAGTCATTAACTTGTATAAAACCAGTTTGATCAATTCCCTTAAAGAAAAAATAAAACCCGAACAGTACGTTTTCACTTTAAGAAGATATAACCAAAATCTAATTATTATTATTATAATAATAATTTTCATAAACTTACATCTTAATTATCTATAGAGGTTCTTAATTAGCCTAAATTTGAAGCTTTAAGATGCCTAGCTCTTAATTGATACTTACTCAATAGTTTTATAACATTAAGAAAATCAATAAATAAGTAATTGATTAGCTTCTTAAGGAAGAAAAATTTATGTAGATGATATAGTTTAATAAAAGATAAGACGTAAAGTAAGTACCATCTTTGAAGATCTTGTCTTGGGCCAGCGCTGCGATTCTTTGCTTCAAAGCACTGTTGTCAACATTTAGAAGCAAACGTTGATGATCCAAAAATGCAACCCGTGGAGACAGTACTGAAACTTCAGCCTTCATTGGACAACAGAATAGGTTAATAAAAGAAAGAAAAAACCATATTATATAATTAATTACTAATACAATCCAATTATAATCCTATAATAGAGTCACATAAGTTTACCTGTAATGAAGTCACACTTCTCTCAAGCTCAGATATGTATTGTAGTTTCCTCACTCTTGATCTTTGAGCCGATTGTCTATTTGCCAAGATTCTGATATTTATGCAAAACCAGAATCAATAATCAGATGAAATTAAGAGAAAAATAATAATAATTGCAACACATCAATCTTATGAAGAACATGTTCATAAACTCTAAACAGTCACACTGCTAATTAATATTATATACTCACATGCATTATTTGTTAATTTCAATGCTCTAACAAACACACTATCTATTTGCTTTTGGAAACGTTATTATCCAAATTAATATTCAAAATGCAAGTTTACGAGGAAAAGCAAAAAGACTTAAAAACGAGAATATTTAATTACCTTTTGACCCTCTTGGGGTCAGTAATTTTGTCACTGGAACATGTTGCATTTGCATTACTATCATTATCATTGTTGGGAGGTTGTGTGGTTTCTTGTTTGCAATGGCTTTCATCCTCATCTGACTCATTCTTCAATTGCTTCTTCTCTTCTTCCTCCTCCTCCTCCTTTTCCTTGTTCATAATTTCCTTCTCATCATTGATGCTGTTGTGATCAGAGGGTGTAGAAGGGTTGGATGAGGACAACGACGTGTGTGCCACCATAGTATTATTATTGTTATTATTACTATTATTGTTCCCTGAAGCTTCATCACTAAACATGGACATGAATTGTTCATCATCAAACCTCTCGAACTCGTTGTCGTCACCGCCGCCACCAGTACTACCATCCTTGCAAGGGTGGTGGTCCAGCAATGGCGCCTCCAAGAACGTGATGGAGTCGCTCACCGACCGCCGGTGAGTGCCGCGCCTCGCCGCCGAGAAGTCGAGAAACTCGTCCACCCACGAAGGGTTTTGGTTTGATGACATGGTTTTGAGGGATGGCATCTTTTGGTGAAGAGAAGAAAAATCTGGCCAAGTTGGTGCCATGTTTGGAATTTTTGGCGGCAATTGAGCCATCTTGAGCCACACCAATCAACCCTCTCTCACAAGAGAATCAAGGGAAGAAGAAGAAAGAAGAAGGAGGAGAATGAAAGAGAAAGAAAGAGAGAAAGAACTATATATATAACCAAACCAAACACAAGGCTTGGCGAGAAAAAAAAAATGTTGGTATATTTATTAATGATTATCTATGCATATATATACATGTAATGTCTGTGTATATATGCACATCAAATCAAATCAAATACTCCACAAACAAGAGAAAAAAAAAAAACTAAAGGAGTGCATGCAAATTATATATTAAACCAAATGAGGCTCTAGGCTCAAGCACAAGCTTTATATAAATATGTTGAGAAAGCACAGGGAATGTTGTTAGAGGGAGGAAATAAGGTCCCAAGGAGAAGAAGATAAAGTAGAAAATGATGTCATGCAATAAGTTTTTTTTTTCTTTCTTCTCAATAATAATAATTTGTTATAGGGTTTAAAATCCCAATAAATCTCTGGGGTATCTGCATGTATGTGTGTTGTGCAGTGGGGTCACATGGATTGGACAGCTATGAACAGCTGGGAGGGGAGAAAGGGGTTGGGGTCTCCTCAACTCAACGGCATTACTGGAAAGTCGCCAGTGGTTTAATTATAATAACTAGTGGGAATCAGCCACCACGTGCCCTTGTGACCGTCCCTTTAGTAGGGTGCCCTTATAATAATAGTCTCATCATTTTCACACTTTACCTTTCTCATCCTCTTATTAACATTATCCACCTCTACTCTATGCTAATTTTGACTCTATCACCTTATAATAATTTCCTTTTTACCTGTTAACATGGTTTTATTAGGTAATTAAACTGTTTGGTCCACTTTCTTCTCTTGCAATAATTAGGCACGGTGGTATAATGGTGGGGGTTAATTAGAGTCAAACGTAACTAACCAATTTAAATGAGATTGAAGTGGAAATAATATTGGTAAATAGGTTAAAGATGAAAGCAGAATTAGGTGATTGGTTTGAATGAATGGCGTACGTCGACGTTATTATTCTGTGGGAAATTTTAGAGTTAATAATGTGTCTAGGATAATTCGGTGGTTAGTGATAGGTGAAAGGAGTCATATGGATTGGGATATTTATATAAGAACAAGGATCCACGTGCTTCAGATTATATTTAAGGATGTGGAGTTATGCATGGGGTGCGAGGGTCACTCTTATTAATCATTTAATTAGTTGGGCTTATTGTTTAGTAAAATTTAAAAAAAAAATCTATAGTTACCATACCAACATGGTATTTGCACCTTAGAACATATAAATCAACTTAATTACATCAATATTTTTTTGTTATTATTAAAAAAATATTATATATAATGATATACAAAAAAATGTTATCATATTTTTTTAATAATTATAAAAATATAATTATAAGTAAATATAATTTTTAATGATAAGTATTATATTAATATAAGGTACATATCATTACAAGACAATTTTTTGTAGTTTAATTTAATTAATCAAAGATTTCGAGTTCAAGTTGTAAAAGTCGACTTAGAGGTAAGGTTAGTAAATTAAGGTTAAGCTTTAAACTCACTAATAAAAAATATTTATTATTAATTTTTATAAAGTAGAAAGGTCACATATGTTAACAAAGATGCCCCACATGTTGATAATTAAAAGGACCAAATATATACTTTTCTAGTTTAAAAAAGTAAAATTCTCACAAAATCTGTTTTAAGTTTCAGTTATAGTTAACTGTTTAGAGAGAAAGTTTTACTCTTCATAATAATCTTTACAAAAAAAAAATTCAATATGGTGTAATATAATTACTCAATAACTATATATGTTTGGTAAGCATGTGATCAAAAGTTTGATCCCCAAGTTTGTGTATTAAAAAGAATTGTTGAAAAATGTGAAGTCCATAGAATATTTGTTAGGATAAATCGATTCTTAAATAGATTATTATATTTTGAAAGATTAGTCTTTTAACTTTGGATTGAAAGTAAGTTGTTAACAAAAAATAAAAATAAAAATCTAGATGCAATTGCAAGTAGGCTGCCAACAAGAATTAAAAAAAAAATCTAGGTGCAGTAATTTAGACAAGTGAAAATTGTGTGGACTAGTGGAATTTGGGACCTTAGCTGTGAAGAGGAAAAAAGAGGGCTTATTGTAAAGGATCATTTTATGCCCCCATGTGAATTGTTTGCACGCACTATGCTTTCTTTGCTTTCTCCACAAACCATTCCCACATGTAGGGTATATGCTTCTCTCTCTATCTCTCTATGGGTATGCTTATGCCTATGTGTTTCTAGGTTCCTTCTTCCATGATCTTATCTTAAGTGGAACTCATTTTTTTTATATGACAAAGCTTCAAATTATCATGATTAGGAGATGGTATTGGGATATAAAATTGCCACATTCTAAATAAAGGAAGTGCTTGCCAATGGAGCATCTTCAAGGATGGATTTTATACTGATTAATAGCATCCATGTGTGTGGGGTCTTGTCTTCTCCTCCGACATATAAAATAAAATTGTTGGAATAGTGATGTGCAATGTGCAGTGCGAGTTGGTTCAATAAGATCAAACTGTATCCATATAAATCTATAAAGATTTCCATTTAAATTCTTAATTTCATTTGTTTCATTATAGTAGTCTCTCATTGAGAACGATTAATGCCTACTCAATACATTGGTATAAATATATTAATTGGTACGTGATTGTTTTATTTTTTTATTTTTTACTAATAGTGTTCTTTAACTAATGGTCAGAAATCGATTTCTTTTGATATGTAGAAGTTACTAAAATTAACCTTGTCTCTTCTAACAAAATATTCGCAAAACCGATTCAATGATAAATAAGATTTAAAATAAATTTTAAGCTATACTTTTTCTTTAAATTAAAAAGATGTATGGGGGAATATTTGTCGACATATAATTACTTGTTAACATATGTAATTAACATTTTTTTTATTATTTTATAAAAATTAAAAGTAAACATTTTTTTATTGTTGAGTCTAACATTTAAACTTTAATAACGTTATCTTGGAGTTGGTTCTGATTATTGTTTAATTATATATATACAGCTAGAAAATTAATTTTCTGTGACCATGCTTAAATAATACTAATTGTATTGCACCTAGTTGTTTCGAGATTGTTTGAAATTAATATGCAGTTTAAAACATGTCATGATATATATTCCTGGTTACTTGGTTACTTAGCTTGCTGGGAAAACATTTCAATTGAATTGTTAGTTATGAGGACAAATTTAGTATCGAATTTATTCTACATCGGATGATTAGACAGGCCGTTGTAACTTACAACATATATCAAAAGGGACCATATCATACTTTTTTTTTGTCCGTGAAATTTTTTTAAATAAAATATCACATTTTTAATGACCATAGGCTAGATATGTTAGATGTTTTTAAATTAAACATTATTAGTAAATTTAGCAGTTAGTTGAAATATAATAGGATTTAATTTAATTTAGGATTTTATTTATCAAATTGAAGGTTAAAATAAATTTATTAGAAAAATTTAACCTCCAACATCAAGAGATTTTTTTAATAAATAAATATAATTATCAAAATAAAATTTTAATGATCATAAAAGAGTGCAGAGACCATATTATATATATGCATAAAAAACCTTTTTCTTTTAATTTTTGAAAGAAAAACTTCTTTAAAGTGAGAGATACACACTTAAAGCATAAAGTTAAATATAAGCCTTTGTGATGCATAGCATAATTATGTTCTAGAGTGTTTTAAACACGAGTTCATCAAAACAAATACAAGTGCTGCTTAAATTTAATGCCCCCATGTGTCCACTTGTAGAGAGGAGAGAGTAATTATGATTATTTATTTGAGATGTACTAGTAAGTATCTGGGTGTATTTCACAACTATAGAATAATATTTTAGTTGATAGAACAGTATTTTAACCACCAAAGTAATCTAGTGATTATTCAAGTCTAAATTAAATTTTAGGATAATATTTTTATAAAAAGTATTTATTAAAATTTTAGAAGTGCAAACAAAGTAGGTTTATAATAAAACACATAAAGACCGTTTTATTATGAAATTTTTTAAAAGATGATTAAAGGTAAAGCCAGAAGACTTCAAATTTAAAATAAATAACATCAAATCAACGTAAAAAGATGTGTTTGAAAGTTTTCTTATATACTCTCAACAAGTGATATCATTTGTAGGAAGTGTGTAAATTCCAATGCACAATAAGGAGTTATGACAAGGTTGATCCACTATCAAGAGTTAATAGTGGAAAAATAGGTTATTGTTGAATACTTATAGTCTAAGGAAATGTTAAACCCATAGTCTTTTTTTGAGGGGGAATCATTGGATATGCAAACATGTCATCCTACATCATTAGAAAATGAGAAAAATAAAATATGAGTTTATAAAATACACAAAATCTCTATTGGTTTGAAACCTTTTGAGAGATGAATAAAGGTAAAAGTCATAAAGTTTAAATTCAAATTGATATTAATGTCATGTAAATATGAAAACATATGTGTGGAAATCTCTTGATGTAACAAGCAAAAAATATTAAATTTTATCTTTTAAATTTTAACTACTTTTACCTCATTTAATGATACTATTCCTAAAATATCCTTTATTCAATACATGACCTTTTCATAATTATAAAACTTATGTCAAAATGAAAATAAAATTATTTTTTTTAGAAAATTAAAGTATATTCTAATCAAAAACTAAAGACTAATCCTTTAAGATATTAAAAATTATTTAAGCACTTGACTCCTCCCGACAATTTTTTTTAAGTTATTTAAATTGATTTGGTAATTTTATAATTTTTAAAGTAATTTTTCTAAAAGTTCAAAATTTTTAAGTTGTTTGTATTCTTGAATCTTGAAATATAAAGAAGGAGAAAGAAAAAGATCTAACAAATAGTTTACTTAGAAACTTTTTCTTTAATATTTTCATTGAAATTTATAAAAAACTCCCTTTAATTTTAGAGCTTTTATGAAAATGTATATCATATAATATCTCTCTTCAAGAAGCGAAGCAGAAAACAAGATGATGAAACATCACTTTTTCAAAAAAAGACGAATCAAACATTGTTATAATATGATATGATATGATATGATGAGGGTCATTTTTATGGAAAATATTTAATTACTTCTAATACCTAGGTTAATATTATTTATAAGGTACTATTTTTTTTTTCAAAATATATTTGTAGCAAGTAAGTGCATCTTGAAACCTAAATTCAGGGTTTTATTTATTTTAGGGCTGGATATGCACTACAATAAAATAGACTTTTAGTGGCATTTAATATGACTTTTAGTAGCAATAAAAATTGCTACAAAATCTTTTACCGGCATTTTTACATTAGCCATTATATGCAGTATCCTTATAATGGTCGAAAAAAGTATAACTTTTTGTGACATTTTTTACTTTTTAGTTAACGTGGGACTTTGTAAGATGAGTACAAATATTCTTTAATTATTTTATCTCTAGTCGATGTAGGAAGTGTAAGATGAAGGTTGTCTTCTACTTATATATTCTTTTTAATTTTCTTATTTTTTAATTACCCTATTTCTAGTTGATGTGAGACTTGTAAGATGAGGGTTATCTTCTACTTATATATGTTTTTTAATATTCTTATTTTTTTAATTATCTTAATGGTAAGTAATCTCATACCAACTTAGAATAGTAAGTTATAGGTCTAACTCAACTTACAAAATAAATTTGTAAGATGAGAGTTATCATCCATCTATATATTCTTTAATTATCTTATTTCTAGTCGATGTTGGACTAAAATTTTTCTTAATAAATAATTATTGCTAATAGTAAATTTTGCTGTAATGTAAATACATTTTTAATGATCATTATATATTAATCATTAACATTTTTATTAAGTAATAAAATAAAGACAATTAATTTATTATCGTTAAATAATTGTCGGTAATAATAAATTTTGTTGTAGTGATATAGTAGACTTTTAGTTAGGCATGGCAACGGGGCGGGGCAGGGGCGGGGTTTA